GTGTCTTTTGCAAAAATTTTATGCTAGTCTGTGGCTTGTCTTCTCATTCTTTTGACATTGTTTTTTGCAGAACAGAAGTTTTAATTTTCATGAAGTCCAGTTGCAATTTTTCTTTTTTTGGTGGATTGTGCCTTTGGTGTTGTATCTAAAAAGATGATGCCAACCCGAGGTCATCTATGTTTTTTTCTCTGTTATCTTCTAGCAGTTTTATAGTTTACATTTATATTTAGATCTATGACCCATCTTGGGTTAATTTTGCATAAGATCTGTGTCTAGATCCTTTTTTTGTATGTGGATGTCCAGTTGTTCCAGCACCGTTTGTTGAAGTCGATCTTTTCTCTATCATCTCCATATGTCTTTGCTCCTTTGTCATAAAATTTATTTTTTGAACTGCTCTTATCTAGGTTCTGGGGAAAAAGCAAAGAAGAAAACAGAGTTGTTCCCTGCCCTTTGGAGTTGATACTGTGCACAGTATCAAGAAAGCTTTCTTTCTTATTTTATTTTTTTAAGATTTTATAGCATGAGAGATGCAGAGAGAAGCAGAAACAGGCAGAGGGAGAAGAAGCAGGCTTCCTGCAGGGATCCTGATGTGGGACTCGATCCCAGGACCCCAGGATCATGCCCTGAGCTGAAGGCAGACACTCAACCACTGAGTCATCCAGGCATCCCTCTTTTTTTTTTTTTTTTTATTGGAGAGAGAGAGAGAGAACACGTGTGTGAGCAGGGGAGGGGAGGGGCAGAGGAAGAGAGAGAGAATCATTTTTCTTTAAAAATTTAATTTATTTGAGAGAGAGAGAGCAAGTAAGTGAAGGAGGGAGTGAGTGAGAGCTCACAGGAGCTGAGGGAGCTGCAGAGGGAGAGGGAGAAGCACACTCCCCACTGAGCAAGGAGACCGATGCAGGGCTTGATCCTTGAACCCTGGGATCATAACCTGAGCCAAAATCAAGAGTCAGATGCCCCATGTTCATATGACTTTCTTAAGCCAGGCAGAACATCACTGCTCCAGTATCATTCCTGTTATGTACATTCCTATTACCACTTCCGTATCTTCAGGCTGGTGAGGTTGGGGTTACACCATAAGAAAGCAGAGACACAGATTCAGTTTTAGGTAGGGATGATTTGCTGGGGTCCTCAGCTGATATTTGAACCCAGATCCCAGTGGCTGCTGGGTGAGCGTAGGGACTTTCACAGAGTCTGTATGGGAAGGTCTGTGTTTTCAGAAAGAAGGGACACCCAGGAGAAAAGCCTCTTCAAGAACTCTTGCCCATTCTCCTGGGGAGGGGAAGAAGACACACTGACTTGTTCCCCACATGTCAGGGGTGGAATGTCAGGTCAGGCTGGTTCAGTGGTGAAACTCAGAGGGAGGGGAAGCCCCTCTGCCTCCTCCAGTGAGTGATAGGTGGAGGGCCCCAGGGTCCTCCCCTGTCAAATGGCCAAGTGGGGCTGTAGGACCTTTCAGGTCCATCTGCCTCTAATGTTCTGTGTTTCTTAGGATAGTTGGGTTGGGGGCATGGCCTGAGTCATCTCACTTGGCTGACCTCATTCACGATGATCCGGGTGGACAGACTCTCAGCTCACCTTTGGGAGTGGATAAGAGTGATTTAATGAAGTCCCAGATGGCCGATGGGTGAGGTCCTGGGGGAAAGGCAAGATTACTTTTATCTTCAGCCAAACAAAAATCCCTGCCCAAATTATAGCTTTGGTTTTAGGAGGTGAGAAAGCGTTGTTGAGGTAACTGACAAGATTCATAGGGAGGCTGCACACTGTTGTAAGCTCACTCCCATCTCAAAGGAAATTCTAGAACCTGGCAGAGAGCATTTTATAGGAGGGCAGGAATGGTGGATATTGATGTGGCTGAGCGTGTGGTGTGGGACACAGGTGGACTGGTAGGAGAGATACAGGGATGAGCCCAGTGAGTCGAGAAAGACGCAAAAGGACATGTAACTCAAGTGTGTGCATGTGTGTATATGCCTGTGCATTCACGTGCATGTGTGTGTGGATGTGTGTGCGTGTGCACGTGCCTTAAATTAGGTAATATCTTGCTGCAGCAAAGACACTGTCCCCCAGCCCACATACGGGATTGCCTCAAGGGTCCCCTGACTGGTCTCTCGGCCTCCACTGACTCACTGTCCTTCAGTATAGACTGATCAGCCTAAAGTAAAGCACCATTTCCACCTCACTACTCCCAGATCTCCCGGGACAAGCTTCCTCCTGTGTGGGCCTCAGGCCTTCCCTATGTGGCCAAAGCCTCCCGACTGTCTTTATTGTTTTCTACTTCCCGTCTCACCTGCACACACCCACACACTCAGGTTGCCACACCTTTGCTCACATGGTGGCCCATGTGCAGTTCTCTCAGCTTCCTGTCAACCCATGCACATTGTCTTTTTTTTTTTTTTGAGAGATAGAAAGAGAGTAGGGGGAGGGGCAGAGGGAGTGAAAATCTTAAGCAGACTCCCCCCCGAGTGTGCAGCCCGACGCAGGGCTCGATCTCACGACCCTGAGATCATGACCTGAGCAGAAATCAAGAATTGGACACTTAACCGATTGAGCCAACCAGACCCCCTCCTCTGTCTTTTTTCTTTTTAACAGCTTTATTGAGATACAATTCACACACCACACAAGTCATCTGTTTAAAGTGTAAGATTCAATGGTTTTTAGTACATTCACAGATATGTGCAACCTTTCCAGTTAATTTTAGAACATTTTCATCACCTCAAAATGAAACCCCACATCCCTTAGCTCTCACCTCCCAGTCCCCAGCCCCGGCTATCAGACCCAGGAAAACAGCAATCTGCTTTCTTTCTGTATAGATTTCCCTGCTCTGGATGTCTCACATGAGTGGAATTGCACATGTGGTCTTTTGTGTCTGGCTTCTTCCACTCAGCAGAGTATTTTCAAGATTCATCCATGTTGTAGTGTGCATCAGTACTTCATGCCTTCTGACAGTCAAATAATAGTCAAATTTTCCCCATCTTTCAAGGTTCAGGTTGGTCCCCACCTCCTGTAGGAAGTTGTCTGTAAACCCCTTGGGCTCTCCTGACCTCTCCCTGGGATATTCACGGTGTAGCCTGGGATCATTCCAGTGTCTTATGTGACAGCCATCCTTCCCCCATGGGACCGTAGCAGGCCAGTTCCCTGGAAAGCAGGTTCTTTTTTTTTTTTTTTTTTTATAAATTAATTTTTATTGGTGTTCAATTTACCAACATACAGAATAACACCCAGTGCTCATCCCGTCAAGTGTCCCCCTCCGTGCCCGTCACCCATTCACCCCCACCCCCCGCCCTCCTCCCCTTCCACCACCCCTAGTTCATTTCCCAGAGTTAGAAGTCTTTATGTTCTGTGTCCCTTTCTGATATCTCCCACACATTTCTTCTCCCTTCCCTTATATTCCCCTTCACTATTATTCATATTCCCCAAATGAATGAGAACATACACTGTTTGTCCTTCTCCGATTGACTTACTTCACTCAGGTTCTGAGATGGAGATTTGTGTGCAAGACAGTAACTGGGGGATGCTCTTGGGGTTAACCTCATGGGGGAGTGATGGCTGCAGGAGCCGGCAGAGGGAGAAGTGGAGCTGCAGTGCGGTCACAGCTGAGGTCCTCACCCCCAGGAGCTCCAAATTGGGAGGCCCTTCCGAGTTGGCCAAAGGCTGGCCTTTATAATCCCAAGTCAACAGACATAGGAAGCTGCTGCTCCAGGAAGAGGGTGCAACTTTGGATTTTCTTCAGCCAAGGGTAAGTCCTAGGGAGAGACTCAGCTGAGAGCTCAGCCGGCAGCACTCCCAGCAACTGGAAGAATGAGGGCACAAGCCATCCACGATGGAGCAGAGGCCCCTCGAGGTCGGGGCCGTGTCATCCTTCCTGTTTGTCTCGCTCCTCCCCTGGCACCTGACTTTTGCTCAAATTTAGACCCTGTGGTCTGACCCACACAGATTCAAATCCCAGCTCTGCCACATAGTAGCTGAGGAACCACAGAAAGTCCCCAGCTCCTTTTAAACCTGAGTTCCTGCATCTGCAAAAAGGAGCTAACAGTCCCCACCTTAGAGTTCCTTTGAATCTAAGTGAGTTGGTGTTTTTATATAAGTGCTGGTTCATACTAAGCTTCCCCAGAATGTGAGCTGCTAATATTACACTGGCATTATTAGAAGAACTCGGGCCATCTGATAATTAATGTAAAGAGGTAGAAGCAGATATAAACTAAAGGGCAACAGATGAACCGGATGTCCACATTGAGATGTCAGTATTCTAAGGTAGAAAAAAAATTTTTTTTTTAAATCAGGGAATATTTCAGACATCCATAAAGGCACAGAAGTTTACTGGACATTCATGCTACCACCATTGAACTCAATTTTCAAAATAGCAGATATATGTGAAGGCTTTTGGGTATCGACCCAGGAGGCACCTGTCCCCAAGGTGAATCTTGAAAGCAAGGTTTCTCATTCCAGGGAACGTCTTGGTGCGGTTGCTGTATATGTACAAATCTCTAGATCATATCTCATCTCCAGATAATATGTCACCTTCTGTATGTTTTAAAACTTTATATAAATGAAATCATAGTGTATCATCCTTCTGCTTTTTTTTGCTTAACACAATGCTTGACACCAAACATGAGAATTGCCCACGTTTTTACACGCAGCTCTGGTTTGTTTATTTGCCTTGTGGTGTAAAGCTGAAAATGCTACTTGTGAGGCATAAGAAGTGGAAGGAGAAACTCTTTGCAGCTGACCTGCTTGGCCCTATCTTCTTTCGAACCATCTGCATCTTCTGGAAAGCTGGCATAGCCTAGAGGTTAAAGCTACTGGAGCCAGACTTTGCCATTTACTAGCTGGGAAATGCTGAGTGAGCTACTTACCACTCTGTGCCCCCATTTGCTCGTCTGTAACATGAGAACAATAACACCTACTTCACAGACTTGCTTGTAAACACTGGGTGTAGGAGCTGGTGTATAGCACAGTACTCGTAGGGTTTGCTATTACTCTACTTGGGTTGTTTCTAAGAAGAGAGTATAGAACATGGCTCCATGAAGCAATGCCCCAGTCAGTAGGGCCTGATTCCTGCCACCTGGAAGGATAGCTACACATCCTGGAATTGCCCACATTTGAGGAAGCTGGGAAGCTGACATTTGGAAAGCTAACTGTCTGATTGTTCTGTTCCATATTTTGCTGGTAGTTCCTGGCATAGCTGAAAAGAGAACCCCCAGGTTCCCATCCACCACTGCCTTTGAACTCTCTTGGTCTCTCAAGGATGCTTTGATTGTTCCTATTATACAGGTAAGTAAATGGGCTCAGAGTCCTGAGACACGTAGGTGGCCCTCCAACTTCTCTTACTTGTTTTCAGGCCTGTTTTCTTGCCTGAGGACAGTGGTGGGAGCCTAGAGGCTGAGAAAGGAAGAGAAAGATTTCAGGGCTATGCACCCTGTCAAAGGTATGATTAAATGGCAGAAAGTCACACTAGAGCTAGAGGTTGTATGGTGTTGTTTTCTCGGTTTCCCTTAAGGTCTTTAGTTAAAGAGTCAAAACGTATTTTCCAAATTCCCTAAACAGCTGAGTAGTCAGTAGAGTGGGTGTTAGGGGAATCTGGGTGGGTGAGGAGGATGGAAGCAGATGGTGGCCAGCCAGCAAGGCTTGCTTTCATCTAGATATACAAGTTTTGGCTTGCCTCACCTTAAAATGGAGTTTTCACAGAGGAAAATATGTCAAGGTAAACAGATTTTCTCCTTTATGAGATGTCATATGACTATTCTTGCATGCAGTTATTTTTAAAAAATAATTTGTAATGGCATAGCTCAGTACCATAATCAGTTGTATTTCCATTATAAATCCAATTTTGGAGGGTGACGGTGTTTGTCATTTCATCTTCCTCAGGGTTTAAACTTTATATTTTTCTCTTTTAAAAAAAATAAGGAAGCAATTTGTGTATATGGTTTAAGAAACTAAGGACCTGGGTTTTGGGGGATGGCTTAGCAATACGAATTTAGGCAAGAGAGCAAAGAGGTTTTTGATGTCTACGTCAATTCTGACCAATTTGTGCTGGATGACAGGAGTGCTGTGTGGAGAATGATTCTGAGACCATGTGCAATGCCAGCAGAAAAGAACAGAGATCGATTAGTAATGGCCATCATGAATCTCTGCAATGAAAGAAAAGAGAGCCCAGAGGGAACCCTGCAAACATCCACTTAAAAACTGGACTGAGCTTGGCACTATTTCTCCCAACAGGAACCCCCTTACATCTTGATAGCACTTGATAGTTTCAAAAGCATTTTTCATTTGCTTTGTTTTCACTTAACCATTCTATCAACTGTGTGAACTCAGGAGGGTTAATCTATCTTCACATTGATTAGTTTACCCATTAAACGCTTATTGAGTCATTACCGGTGTGGACTGTGGTAGATGATCTGTAAGGATGACGACCAATAGTTCCTTCCCTTTCTGTTCTGGCATGTTGTCCCTCATCCAGAAGTGGAATCCATTTCTCTTCCCTTAGAATCTGGCAGTTCTTAGTGACTTGCTTGGCTCAGAGGACCCAGCTGAATGATGTTCTGGGATTTCTAATGATAGATCTTAAGAGCCATTCAGTTTCAGCCTACATCTTCTTGAAATATTTGCTTTTTGAGCCCTGGTCTGCCACATAAGAAATGTGGCTACCCTGGGCTGCCTTGGTGGCTCAGTCAGTTAAGCAGCCGACTCTTGGCTTCAGCTCAGATCATGGTCTCAGGGGCGTGAGATTGAGCCCAGACAAAGACTGAACCCAGCTTTCCAGCAGTCCTACTAAGGTACCAATTATACAAGGAGCTATCTTGGACTCCTCTAGACTAGCCCAATTCCCAGCTGGATACTCCTGATTACCCCATTTGAGCTTGTGTGCAACAGAAGAATCACTAAACTGAGCCCTGCCTAAATTCTTGACTCACAAAATCATGAGGTGAAATGGTTGTTAAGTGACTAAGTTTTGGGTATTTTGTTACATAGCAACAGGTAATTAGAACATTGACACTGAGCTTCCAGAGATGAGGAATCTCCAGTTTCAATCTATAGAGAATTCCGAGTCTCTTGAGAGAGAGAGACATGGACAAACTAATCAGAATTCAGTGAAATTAAGCATGTACCAGATAAAGTGAGAGCCAAGAGTGCAGATAAGTAACTCTTTCTTAAAGAGGGTAGGAAGGCTTCCCAAAGGGTGATGTCTTTTTGGGCTCTGGTCCCGTTGCTCTTGGGATGCACAGCTTACAAGAAGTCATTTTTTTCTGGGAACATTCCCAATACAGAGAGAAGGGTCTCCAGTGGCCAAGTCTATATTAGGTGATTCTGCTTCCCTGGCCATAGTTGATAGATCCAGGGGTATACAAGTTCTCAAGGTGAGCCAATCAGGTTCCCTCTCACAGTAAACTGAACACTAGAGTGGAGATTCTTACAGGCAGGGCATCATTGGAACTGAATCATGCTGATAGCATTCCTCTAGAGCACAGTTTCTCGATCTTGACACCATTGGCATTTTGGGCTGATTGATTTTTTTGCTGAAGTGAGAGGAGTTGTCCTGTGGCTCGTAAGGTAGTTAGCACCAGCCCTGGCTCCATCCAGTAGATGCCTCTAACACCCCATATCCCAGTCATGACAAACAAAAATATTCCCAGACATTGCCAACTGTCCCCTGGGGGGCAAAAATCACTCCCAGTTGAGAACCACTTCTTTAGAGTGACACTACTCAATTCATGAGCTTTCTTATCACTGTGCATATTGAAATATGGTAGTTAAACTATTTTTTTTTTAAATCTGCAAGGCATCCCAGAGCCTTCTAATCATTCGGTGTCAGCTTTCATATCCTACAACCCAAAGGATTTAGTTCCTACAGTATTGAAGGTTGGAATAGAGTTTGCTACACAAATAAGTCTTGGGAAGGCATTTTAAATAGAGGTACTCTTTGCATGGAGGCATGGAACAGTACCATGGAAGCGTTGGGTATGGCTAGAGCTGTTCATAGAAGGTGAGTGGTGAGCTGAAGAGGCATAAGGGTCAGCCCATACTTTGCAGGCCACGCTTTAGCTTACAGATCAGATGACTGTGGCCCTGGGAACCTCCATAATTTACCTATGGTCAGTGCTTTCCACTGAACCAAAGGCCTTCCACCATTTTCCATTGTTTCTAGATGGCTAATGGCTATTAAAGGCTAGATTTTGGGGTTTTAGAGGATTATGTTCCACTGAGAATATTTTTCCTTGTTAAGGAACCAATTGCTCCTAGATTTTAACCCTGTCCATGTTTCACTAACAAACTAAGATTAGGACTGAAGTTATTTTTAAAACTTGGCTGAATCCCACATGTCTTCTCAGTGTGAGGCAAAAGTGGACTCCTTTAGGCTTGAGTCAGTTGGATAAAAATGTTTCATTGTCCACTTGGCTATGTGACCATGTGTTTGGGTGTGTGAATGAGGATCTTTTGGGTCACAGAGATCTGGAATTCCGATGATCTCAAATCACAGGGCATATTGTTCTCTGCATTCTTTCAAGCAGCCACGCTACAAGAGCCTTCCTCTTTCCCTCAGAGACTCAGTGTCTCTGAGCTTCAAGTTCTACTATTCTTGCTAATAGTTAGTAACAAATTCTTTGTAAGTCTCGAGTTCAAGTTCCCCAGGAGAGAGTCTGGTTGGTTAGGTTCTGCTCTAGGGCAAAACTTTGGCTCCTGGCCAACCATAAACTCTCCTTTGGGGGCTGTGTCCATGCCCAAGTAAGCTAAGGTACAAAGCATGGTGGACCCCTGTGGAAAAAAGGGTCTCAGAAGAGGCTTGTAAGAAAGCAGGACCCATAAGCTCCTAGGGAAGGGTTAAGTGTCCTTGTTGGGCACAATTGAGTGCTGGAGTCAGGGCTGAGCTGTGCTACTGATCTTCCCTCACAAAACTTCCATGGTGGCTCTGGCCCCAGAATTCCTGTTTCTAACCAATTGGCCAAATCCAGTAGCCCCGGACCCAGGTGCACCCAGAGGAGGCCACTTTTGAGAAGTTAGCTTCCAGGAATAAATTCCCTTGGGAAACTCTGCAGGAAGCTCTCATCCTGGGAACAGTGCTCATTAGGAACTTGGGGAGCTGTTAATTGCCCTGTCCAACCAAGATGCAGTGCTGCCACTTGATGAAAAATAATGAAGTCACTGGAAGTGCCAGCTTCCTCCCTGTCTGTCTTTCCTCTTCCTCCTCTCACCGCCGGCACTATGCATCCTGTTGTCCTGCTTCCCAGAGGTCCTTGCTGTGGTGTTTAGGAACTTGTCCCTGGAGCAATCATTTTCTCAGAAGAAATATACAGAAGCATGCAGAAACCGGAAATGTGGTGTTTCACTGAATTATAAATGCATTCACCTGAAAGTTGTGTTTACAAAGTTAAGATTAAATTATATAGAGCTACTGCTCATCCCTTCTTAAAGAGTTAGGACCCCTCAAGAACTTAATCCAAGCTTGGAAGAGCTGTGACCTCCTGTCGCCATGGCAATGCCCACCTTCTGGACTAGACCCGTGGCGGGCTGGAGGAGAGTGCAGTGGGGCAGAAAGACCACTTGGAGTTGGGGGGGCTGGGAGGTCAGTGTTCTAGTCCCAGCTCTGATGCTAAGCAGCCACTTGAGTTTCTGAAACAGGAGCTGAACTGCTGACATCAAGTCTTTACTAGCAGGAACATTCCATGGTAAATTATCTGAATGCAGAAAATTTTAGACCCTTTGAAAGGGATTTAGTAGGTGAAACTGCTTGGTACTAGGGGCATTCTTCCAGAGTGTGGGGTAGGTTGGGAGGCAGGGCCCCCAAATCCTTGGGCAGAGGCCTTCCCTCTGTTCTCACCTACCGGAGGCAGCACCTAACCTGTGCTCAAGCAACTGGCTTTCTCCCCTGGGACTTGGGACTTGGAGTGTGATCCAAAGACATGGGCTCAGGTAGAGGTTATTGAGGCTGGCAGCGGAGTTGCCAACACAGTGGCCATGGTGAGGAATACCCAATGGCACCAACTGTGCTGGTAGCGCCTCAATCAAGCTTCTGTGGCACAAATATGACTGTGTTGTCACTGTTAACGTCTGTGGTCTCGCCTCTTTTCTCTGCCTCTTGTTCAATTTTGCGAACAACCCAGTACCTTCAGGTTTGGTGTTTTCTCTTTAGTTGGCCAGAGTTGATTTTTATTGCTTGCCACCAGGAATCTTAATCAGAATCTTGATGAACTAATTACCCTGCAGGTTGCTGTTTATGATTTGAAGCCATTTTAAGGTCTTATCTAATCCCAAAAAGGTTTCCACGTTTTCAAAAAGGATGCTAGCATCAGCGATACCTCAACCCAAGGCCTCCATACACTTATCACCTCACCTGCCAGCTCTGCTCAATTGGTAGTGGCAACATGAGGCACTGTGTTGAGGAGGATTCTGAGGTGCAAACTCGTTAGTGGGGTCTGCCAATGGGGAGAGGGTAGAGAGTGGTAGTGCTCTTACCAAGTAGTTGTTTCCCACGCCTAAACTCAAAGGGGGTTGTTTCAAGGGCTTGGGGGGATATATTTTGTGGTACTGGTGGTGGAGTGTCCCAGATCCCCTCAACTCTCCTGCTTTGGTGGAAGACAGCTGAACTTCCTTTGTCACCATCCTTTGGCAGGACAGCCTTCCTGACAAACCTCAGTGTAAAACCGAAGATAAGATCAGTCTCCCTTATGAGACCCAGGGCAGAGAGACACGGTGTGAGCTGCCCAATGACTGCAGCTGCAAAGCCCAGGGCCCTGCCTATGGAGTCAGAGTATCAGGGGCCATCCACTCCAATAGTCTCATTTCACAGATGGGAAAACTGAGGCCTAGAAAGAAAAATAATGATTTGTCCCAGGCTCTGCAGTTCATTTAGTGGCAGTTTGTGGTTTCACATACTAGTTGGTTCTTGGCCAGCGTTCCTCTTATCTCCCTACCATCTCACATCTACTCAGTTCCCTCTCCACTTTTAGTCACCCCACCTTTAGAATACCCCCAATGGCTGTTGTAACAAATTACTGAAAACTCAATAGCTTACAAGAACACAAATTTATTCTAGAATTCTATAGGTCAAAAGTCCAACATAGGTCCCACTGGGCCAAAGTCAAGGTGTCAGCCGGTGACTTTCCCTTCTGGAGGGGAAAATAATTTCCTTGTCTTCTCTGGCTTCTAGAGGCCGCTCCCATTCCTTGGTTTATGGCTTCCTTTGTTCATTATAAAGCCAGCAATGGCCAGTTGAGTCCTCACATCACTGTGACACTGACTGTTCTGCTTCCCTTTACTTTTAAGTACCCTTGGGATTACGTCGAACCCACCAGATAATCCAGGATAATTTCACTATTTTAACGTCAGCTGACTGACAGCCTTAATTCTGTCATTAACCTTAATTCCCCTTTGCCAT